GAATGCCCAACCACCGAATGCCTCGACGAGCTATGTTTTGTGGTGTAGGGATAGTTTGAAAGAAAGCTAAGGGGCGGCCAAACCAAAACATGGCAGAAATCCATGAAGTCACTGACAAGTGAACTGAGTCATGTTGGTAGATGTCGACTACCTGGTTGGTGTCCGCGAGACGAAAGTCACCGATGGGTAGAGACTTTGAACGTCATGGCTAAAAATCGTTTGCAATGGCGCATGTGCATCTGTTCTTTGTGTTCTCTGAAATTCTAAGCTTCTGAATTCCTTATCATCTCACTGAATTATACTTTTTGAATCATATCTTCGAACCCTATTTTTCTCCATTACCAGTAATACTTCTACTCACATCTATCACTGTGGGATTGGAACTGACAGTTGCGTCTTTGTGCTGATGCGATACGACAACCTGAACTGATGTACTCATGTACAAAGTTCTAAGTTGTAACTAACTGACTGACTGCGATTTTTACGATAAAAATAATGGGATAAAATTCACAAAAACATATCAAATTATCAAACATATAATTAGTGTTACCTGTTTTCACATCCATCGGTATGAATTCACGTGGATTCACTACTTTCTCACTATTGACAATGAAACAACTACCAACTTTACTAATATCCTCATCACCATCATCAACAACACCATTGTCACGAATATTCTCTTCGCCAGTGTACTGATGTTTACCCATAGCAGTTATCTTCGGTCGTGAATCAATCCATTCCAGTGTACTATGATCATCCTGATGAGATGGTGTACGTATTTCATTGAACATGTATAAAATATATTGAGGCATAGCACTACTACTAGTACTACTACTACTACTACTACCGATACCTTCATTCGAATCTAATTTAATCGGTACTAAAATGTTCATTGTCACATTTTTCAATTTATTCGATGGTCCCATATATTCAATTTGTATTGTGTGTTCAACTTTTGGACCAATATCCGAGAGAAGTATACGTTTTTGTTTATTCAGTAATAAATTGTTAGTTGATTCGATTGTACGATTATCCATCCTACTTGGTATTTCACCAGGACCATATGAGATACGAATCGATGGGTTATGAATTAATTGATAATTGAAACGTATCGAGTTACTCAATGGTTGAGGATCCACTGTTCCAGTGATAAGACGTATAGTGACACCGGCTCCAACACTGAAATCCACTTCATCATTTTCATGATCTGCTAAAAATTTATCATAATATGTTGACAGAATAAATCGTTGATTCGGTTCAATAATCGGATTTCCATCGGTTGACAAAATTATCGGTGGCAATAATGTACCAATTGGACAATGTACCCATGTTTCATTTTCGGACACTTCAACCATTAATATTTCCGATTGACGATTCGGCTGATCAGCATTAACATTTAAATTGTCTGTTTCTAGTTCTAAACGTGAAAATTTTAAATTTCCATGAAATTGTAATTCCATACGTGTACCTTGTGCTTTAGTTGGTCCATAATTGAATATTTCTATGAATAATTGTGGTCTAGATTGATTTTTATTACCATATTCAATGTCAACCGTCGTTGTTAATGGAGAATCCAAATGATTAGTTTGATTTAAAATTGGCGTAGATTGTTGTTGCTCATCATGAATATATTGAAAAGCACTAATTTGATTCGATTGTATATCTTTCACACGTAACACTACATCACTTTCACATTTAGGATTTGGATAACATATATAACGTGATAATGGGATTTTTGTTAAACATTTTGACCAATCAATTAATGGACGTTTTAACCAGCCACCATTTAAACAAGTACCATTTTGATCAGTCACTGGTTGATCACCATAACATGGTTGTAAAAATCGATAGCCTAAATAAACACCACCTGCGGGGGATTCTAAATCATGCATCTCTTCCACATTCATATTAGCTTGAATATTGAATTCAATGATCAATTGATTTTGTTTTAATTCCAGTCGAGATTTAATGGAACCCGCTAAATTGAAACGTTGTTCCGTTGGACTAGTTGCATTCCAATCTGGATTAATTTGATGAATAAATTGATCAATTTGTAATGAATTCAGTAGTAATTTCAAATGATTTTGATTTGTTTGTGAAAATTGATACGTTTTAGAATTTTTAAAATATACAGTAATTTGTATTGGGATAAAATGATTTTTTAAAATATTTCTTATTGATAACCATGGTGGAAATGTGTAATGGCATTCAGCAATCCATGTTGATCGTGTAGCATAAACAAGAATCGACTGATGATCTGTCGTTGGTGTTGACAATGAATCAGGTTGTTGATTTTTCAAAGAAATCGGTACAACTAAATCATTGTAACCATTAAAATCTAAATCATCCGCATGCGATGGGAGATGTGCACCGAAATCTTGTACACCTTTTGGACTAACTAATATTTGTAAAGGTGTTCGATCGAATGTACAATTATCTAATAGGCGTATTAAATAAATATAACTATGATTTGATGTATTCTCTAAATCCGGTGCGCCGATTGCTACATCATCATTCCCATCCCCGTCGAAATCACCGAGATTAGTTAAAGCAAAACCGAAATTTCTCGATTGTTTCGGACCGTCTAAATAATCATGCATAGTGGATGGTGGATGGATAGTTGATCGGCTATTGATTTTTTGATTAAGTTGACAGAATAAATAAATCCGACCAATATTATAATCATTCATTAATGGGAGAGGATTTGTTTTATTGACGTGATTGTTATTTTTAAGTTTAATATTCCCGGTATAAGGTGCACCGACTATAACACTTTTCAAATATGGTCCTTTAATTGATACACGTAGCACAGACATACCATTCCCAATAAATTGATCGGTATTATTCATATCTGGAAACCAATCAATATGACCATAATATCCATTCATTGTATTACGAAACGATTGACTATGCTCAATACCAATTAAGTGTTGAAGACGCATTGCAGTATTATCTTTACCGCCGCCAATCAATAATCCCGGTGCTGTAACAAAACCATCGGTTACAGCATAACCAAACAATGAACCAACAATCACATGACCATCATTGATTTGTTCAGGTCGATTGATTGTGGTCACTTTCGGTGAATTATAAAGATCAGTCAAAATTTGTATACGTCCATATGGTGTGGATAATGGTTGACCAATCCATAGTTTAATAGTCGACAACAAGTCATCGATTGATTTGGATTCCTGATTATTAATATTATTATTATTATTATTATTACTACTTATTGATAAGGCTATACTATGACCAGCAGCACAAGGTGTAGCTACTTGTAAACTAGTTTGACAAAAATCGGACAATTCTAAACTTGGTTGAATATGTCCATTATGTACAATATGAGCAAAACATCGTCCAACTGGTACTTTTGAACTAGCTCGCCATAATGGATCACAATAAACAAATATACTTAAATCTTGATTGATTTTCAAAGCTTGACTTGTGGCGCCAAGAAATTCATGATCCGTAGTAGTAGTACTGGTAGTAGTAGTAGTAGCGCTTTCATTGACAGGATTTGGTTGTAGAATACTACAAGCATTCGAATTAAATCCAAAACCTAACAATGTTTCATGATCTGATTTCCAATCTAAATAACATAAAAATATTTGACTATTCTGTCTTGGTGATACAGTATCACTTGATTTGAATAAATTTGGTTGTTGACGTCGTTGTGATCCACCAAGGAGAATATAACCACGTTTTAAACGTTCCGAAGTAAATACACTAACACTTGTCCATTCAAACAATTCTTTATTGTTTTCATTGTTTGGCGCATTGTTTAAATTAGGTTGAAATGTTTGAAAATCTTGTGTATCACATTGTTGAATTTGTTTAAAATCAGGCCATACATTGATCGGTGTTTTTGGTGACCATAAATCCGAACGTATTCGATCATATTCCCAGCTGATATCAACATATGATCTGTCGTGTAATAAATGTGTATTCTCAACTGAACCATGAATACAGCATAGAAATGAAATGGAATATATCAATAGCGAGTATAAACAATAAGTAGTATATTGACAAGTTTTTTTAGTAATAATCCACATGATTTATACACCACAAAAAAACACAGTAAGAAACACGAAATTAGCTGATGTGTTTGTGTACTCACAAACTGCTTTTTTCTTTTCACGTGCTATCCAATAATAATAATAATAATAGTAATAATATTAGATTTATGAGAATCGATCTGATTCAAAAGGTATCTTCTATCTGTTGTCTACATATATATATATATATACATATACTTTCATTAGTAAAACACTATTGACAGTAGTAACATGTTAGTAGAGTGAACAGTTAAACAATCTAACTTTTCAAATGATTGTGTTCACGCCTTTTTTTATCTTACTTATTTATTTATACCATACAACAACACAAACGACAACAAACATTGAACAAATTTGAAATGATTGAATATTGATAGGAAAATTGTAACCACATCTTAACCAATCATCGTTCAGTAAAATGCACACTTATGATTGGTTCATTAAAAAGAAAAAAAAATGGTGATTATTTTTCAAACTGATTTATTGTTTTGGTAAAATAATGTTTGGATTTAAATTTACATTTCATGCATAATGTGGTATGAAAATTTTATTATTACTAATATTATTGTGTCTCGATTTATTTACTCTCATACAATACTATATGTATATATAGAGAGAGTTTTTTTGTAAAACAAAAAATTGACTTGTTGACAAATGGTGACTATGCAGTGTAGTGCAATCATTTTCATTATAAATTCATTTTGGCTTTGTTCAATCAGCTATTCTGATAGTTTTGTAACTCTTTAGATTGATTGATTTGGAAAGATTAATTTGTTGATGAATAAAATTGTTTTCGAGCAGAGATTTTAGGGGGGGTTTGTGTTTTATTACACATTTGAAATCATCAATCAATCATTGTTAGACCACCATTAGAAACCTGAAAGCACTGAACGAAGGCCGTTTCATCCTGGTATGGGACTCACCAACAGTGCGCATCCACGTCACTCATGCACCTCACAGGATTCGAACCCGGGACCTTCTGTACTGTGCGCGAACGCCTAACCATCGGACCACTGGGACGGCATCCAACGGTCGCCCAGTGCTTCCAGGTTTCTAATGGTGGGCTAACAATGATTGTTTGATGATTTCGAATCCATGAAGTCATTGACGAGTGGACTGAGTCATGTCGGGAGTTGTTTACTACCTGGTTGGGGTACGCGAGGTGATAATAATCGAACGTTAGAGACGCTGAATGACATGGCTCGAAACCGTTTGCAGTGGCGCTGGTGCATTTATTCTCTGTGTTCTCTCGAATCCTAATCTTCTGGAGTCTTCAACGCCTCTAGTTTTGACTTCCTAAACGTTTCTTACTGAATCGTACGTCTTGAATAATATCTTCTAATCCTTAGCCTCTCCGATTACTTCTAATACCTTTACTACCTCTTCTACTATTGGATTTGAATTGACAATTACATCTCTGTGTGTGCTAATGTGGTATGGCAACATGAACTGATGTACTTACGTACGAAGTTCTACGTTGCATCTGACCTACTGACTGACTGACATCAGTGGCATCTCTCATCCACGACTTTCACACACTGGATTCGAAACCAGCAATTTCGACCTCGCACGCGAACGACTGACCTTTAGACCACTGAGTTAGTGCTTCTAAGTTTTTAATGCTGGTCTAACAATGACTAATTCACGATTATAAATGGGAAACAACAATCTCCATATAAATATGTAATGAGAAATAATACTTTTATTTTATATATGACGAATATGGGAGATTTATGTAGGATAAATTGAAAAGAAAATTTTGGGGTTTTAACACATTATTAACTGAACTTATTTGAATTGTAACCGTTGAAATTTATTCAAGATTTGATAACCTGAGATGTTAGATGGCCTAATCAACCTTCAGGTTCCGAATGAATACACAAAATCTTCAGTAATTAACGATCAGTCCCATCTGGCCTAGTACTCCAGTACATCCACAGATAGGAAATAAATAAGATGACTTACCGAATCACACTTGACAGAGAATCTTTAGAGGATGTAGAAACCTTTACATATCTAGACAGCATCACTGATGAACTAGGTGGATTTGATGCAGTAGATGTGAAGGCGCGGATCGACAAAGCGATAGTAGAACTTTTACAATTGAAGAACTTCTGCGACTCAAAACAACACCAAACTCGAGACTTGGAATACAGACATCAAAACAGTTCTATTTTATTGAATGGAAACTTTGAGAAGCACGAAAGTTATTATCCAAAAGATGTAAGTGCTGAATGAAAGTTGTCTACAAAAGATACTTAGAATCCGTTGATCGGACACCATCAACAACCACCTATTGCTGAAGAGAATAAACCAGATTCCAGTGGAGGATGGAATCAGAAAGAAGCACTGAAAGCGTTTAGGACGCATGGAAGCATGCACTCAACTGTGTCACAAGACAAGCTCCGACTTGTAACCCTCACAGAAAAAGGAAAAGAGGGAGACAAAAGAACAAATTACGCGGAAAAATGGAGACAGGCATGAGAAGACTGAAGAACCATCTGATAAAACCAGGAAGGATGGTTCAGGACAGGGTACATCGAGTAATGATGTTCGGCGGCCTAGGCTTCATTAAGGGTAACAGGCATAAGTAAGTAAGTAAGTAAGTAAGTAAGCAAGCAAGTAAGTAAGTAAGTAAGTAAGTAAGTATGAAAAACTTCAGAAAATCGTATATATTTTAGATGTTTATAATGTAAACGACAATCAATAATAATATCCGTGAGAATTTTTTAAAATATTTTATTTGTTAAACGTTTTATAAGTGGGACAGTGTAATTTTATTGTGAGAATAATTATATTTAACCTTTAAAACACTAATCGAATTACAGTATGCAACGTACATTTGTTATTCTAACGATCTAGATGACCTGTTTGAATATGAAAGCAATATGTCTGTCTCATCAAAAGTCCAAATGTGTAAAAACACAAACCTCCAAAAAACTCGAATACCCGAAAGTATCGTAACAGTGCTCACTAGTGACTAGCTTCGTGAGGAAATTCTCTAAGTTCTCGTTGAGAAGATGTGACCAATGGAGTTCAACACTGTCGAGTGTAGGCAGTAAATACCAAAGACAAATGGGTGAGGTCGAGCAAAACCCGTAGATCAATCAGAGTTAGGCATTAACACTTCAGATGCCGCCCCAGTGGTCCGATGGTTAGGCGTTCGCGCGCAATACCGTAGGTCTTGAGTTCGAGTCCTGCGAGGTGCAGGAGTCGTGGATGCGCACTGCCACTGATGAGTCCCATACCAGGACGAAACGGCCGTCTTCCTGTGCTTCCAGGTTTCTAATGGTGGTCTAACAATGATTGATTGATGATTTCAAATGTGTATCAACAAATAAGTAAAAATCTTTCTGTCTGTTTTAACATATCAGTTATGTCATGTAATTGCGGCGATCAAAGACATCACAATACTTGTCAATCTGCATTAAAAATAGGAACTTGTCGAAATAGTTTGTAATGCTAATCCCATATTACATTAAATAAAAACATAAAAATAATTAGACTTGCAAAAATTTATTTAATAAAATAGTAATTAATGATTGTACAAAGTGCAAACATTGATGACTAGTTGCGTGAAGAAATTCCCAAAGTTTTAAAGAGAAGACCTGACCAATCGAGTTCAATCCTGTCGGGTGAAGGCAACAACTAACAAAGAGATTGATCAGAATTAGACATTAACAACAATAGATGCCGATCCGTCGATTCAGAGGTTAGGAATTAGTAATTATCTGATTTAACTTGTAGCTAATAACTATCAGAATTAACATTTTGTTACGCCTTCAGGTAAACACGTCAACTTGATATGCTTGAACTATTAGGAGTTTACCTTGGTCGGAAAACGAGAGCGAGGTCGAGGATCCGGCGACACGACGTGCTACTTGAATCCGATTATCGTAACCCCCATATTGAATAAAAATAAGATAAGACTTGATATGAAGTAGAACTTGTATTCTACAAGCATCCAGGAGGTACGAGGTCTGAATCCAGAAGAGAATCAGGATCCCGAACTAGGGATCCGGGACCGGGTCCTGGTTTTGGTCGTGGTCGTAAAATGTTATAGACAGAAACAGCATCGAATTCTGTTGCATTGACAGTTAAGACGACCAATAGGAAGTAACGTTTGAAATGAGATTGACAGTCCGGATGACCAATAAGAGACAACATTGAAGTATTTGACTTTGACAGTTAACACGATCATAATTTTGCCCAATAAAAACCGACCAGTTTGGTCTGCAGACAGGTGGACATCCAAGGATCAAGCACACGAACAGTGGCCCCCGCTCGGGCGCCGACGAATCAACAAGATCCCTCCAACCAGAACACTACGCACAACCCCCAATCGGCAAGGGCAGCAAGGCGGTCTTACCCAGCTGGACCTGGCACTCCGAAGCGGGTTACCGAGCCACCTAAGCAGTGCACTAACCAGAAGCCGTTCCAACCATCAGGCCTCCAACTGCCTGATACAATCGATTGGGGTCCCCAAGGCCCCACATGAAGCTAAAGATCGAGTCTGTCCCACAAGGTCAGCCGGAACGTACACCTTTCCATGAGGAAGATGTCATGAGCTCGACCAAGTGCGAGCGCCCAGCCAAACAGGGTTCATCCCACAGAAGTGGGCAGACATCATTGGCGTCCAGTACCAGTTCAGCACTGGAACACCGGAACCCTACTGAAGACCCTTGTTTAAGTGGCCTCGACGCCACTTCACACACTACGTCGAGGGCAGAGTATAAGAGACAAACACATAGGGTCGGCGTCTATAGTCCACGATGTCTACGGCTTCTTCCCCAAACAGAACGTCCAGGGCCGCCTTCAATCATCCTGGAAAGCTACATCCCTTTCAAGGTATTTGCTACTACGGAATGATAGAGGACAAGTCCTCATACCATTATCTGAATATACCTACACTCGATGGACGGGATTCAGACTTAGGGATGTTCAGTCCTAATCCCACAGAGTGGCTAACCGCATCCACAGCCTTACGACCATGATTCTATTACATTACTGTCTAATACTTCCAGGTTGTCTATTATGGCTTACCATGAACCGGTTCATGATTTTCCAATGAAACATAACAAGCTCACTATAATGACTAGCTTCTAAGTATTTTCGGCAGTTTGAATGAGAAGCAATGACCAGTGGAGCTAAATTGTGTCGACTTAGTTGGTA